TACTGATCACCAGAAAATACTTAGAAATAGAAGGTTTTATACAGGGTTGATGGTTATTCAATATAATAATAATGAAAATTATTTTAATTAATGAGAGATTCCAAAGTTTTATTTATAGAATTTTTTTAAAAATAATATTCCGTAGAATAAAATAAATGATGCATAGTTTCAAGTACGTATTTACACATATATATTTATTAAATTTTATAAAGTGAATTTAACTTTTTATAAACAATACTTTGTAACATATTAATGGATCATGGGGTGAATTTAGTTGGCGGAGCGTGTTTAATATTTTGGTGAGTATGACTATCATTACCCAAAAACCAAAGGCTATTATCCACTTCCTTACTGAGGGACGACAACTGTTATACGGAAATTCTTGTTTCGATATCACCATTTGATTTGATACTAATTGTTTATGTTGAATAATAAAAGTTCCATCTTCATATATACAAGAAATACATAGAAAATCGTAATTAGAATAGAAAAAGTAATTATGATTATAATAGAAGAGGTAAATAATAAATAGTAATAATAATATTCTATTTCATAATTAATATCCTTAATAATAATCCTAATAATTATAAAAGAAGTTAAATGTCATAAACATGTTTGACATACATGATCCAACTTTTTAAACTCTCATTGTGTCAATTTTGCACGGGATTCTTTGATTTTGCAACATAAATTGCTAATTATATAAAGAATGTGGACTTTTTTACCATTTGTAATAACACTTCAAGAATGTAATGTACTTGCTCCATTTGTGAGTATTTATTTACTTTTTCTTTTTTTGGTTAAAATTAACAACTTCTAATCACAATTTAAATAAAAATCATTTTTAGATATTGATATAAAAATAATTTTATTAAATTTTTTTTATAAAATATTTCCAAAATATTATTTTATCTAACATATCATAGATATTTTATTTAATTAGAGGTCACCTGTAAAAACAATTTATCGCAAAAAACTACTCCATCCATCCCTAAAAACATAAAAGATTGTGATTTTTAAGATATTTAAGAGAAGTGCATTTTGGTATTGAGTTTCCAAAAATATCATGATAGGTAAAGTAGGACTTTATAGATAGATAATAGTGAATATACGTGATAAGATAGATACTTTAAAAATTAATAGAAGTGAAATTGATTTTTTAATAGAAATAAATTTTTTTTGAGATGAATGATAAAAAGAAGGAAAAGATTTTAAGAGAATGTAATTGAAGATAATATAATGGATTTTCAAAGCATCCCACACGAACGGTAGAAATTAAGTTAAAAGAGTTAATTAATACTACTATATACAATGCTAAGTGAGTTTTTTGAACAAAATATTGGGCTGGATGACTGCCAAATGGGCCTGTGGAATGGAGAGACTGGAAAATGACACCTATGGTGCGCATTTGTGTAGTAGCGGCCAGAAAGTGTATAAAAAGTCCAAATTGCTTATTGAGCCACGCGCCGCATGCTAAACTTACAAAGCAAGCTTCTTTTCCTAATAAAAATAGGAAAAATTGATATAAATACTCCTAGAAATTTGAAAGTTTACAATAATACTTCCAAATTTAATAAAAGACTCTGGTGCTCCCAATTAAACTATAAGTTTACATTACTACTCCCACTATGCCTAATCAGCTTTTCTTATGCTTACATGTAAGTAATTATGCTTAGTTGTCATCTTAGTTGTTTTTTTTGTTTTAATAAGAGGAAAAAATTATATAAATACTTATAGAAATTCAAAATTTTACAATAATACTCCCAAAATGAAATAAAGACTCCAGTTCTCCCAAAAGTATATTCTCATTGCACGTTACTATATTTGACTGAATTATTTTTAAAGTATTTTATATGAAAAATGGTGTGAAATTAAAAAAATAAAAATTACATAATAGAAAACTAATATAGTAATATGTAAAAAAAATTTAGTAATATTAAAGATTAATTAATTGAGCTTAATTGGCATCTTAGTTACTTTTTTATATTTTAATAAAAAATACCTCCTTCGTCCAAAATTTATCTTCTGATTCACTATTAAGAGTATTAACAAGATCAAATTTTATTTACTTTGCTTACTTATTTTAATTATATATTTGATAAAATAATATAATTATATCATTACTAGTTTTATAGATCTTATGGTGTAG